AAGGATTCTTGAAATAAATGTACTAAATAAATTGTACTGTACTAAATCGAAACTGTCTGAATTACTCCAAACCCAAACTTAATATGACAATATTTTTGAAAAGCTAAGCTGCTTTTTTAAAATTTTAAAAAATTTGATTAAAAATTTATACGTGTGATTTCTCTCTGGTCCATTTCTCTCAGAACAAATAAATTCGAAACTGGTTGATTTTAGAACTGACTATAGAGTCAAATTTTTTAAAGGCAATTGTAACTGAATATGACAATTTTTCAATTAGGCGCCCTCTTATCATGTGGAAGTGATTTTATTTCATATTTTTTTTTAAAAGATTTAGTTATATATAGTAAAAACTTTCTTAGAACATAAAAATGTACATAATAAAGTAAATGCAATATTATACATTAGCATTAGGTTTAATATTACATATATAGGTATATATATATATGTATAATATAATATATATTCTAATTTTTCACATTAAAATCATAATCTTTAATTTTATTTCAAATAATTCACTATATATAATAATACACAAACACACACATATTATTGTGTAAATATGTAACGTGTAGTTTATCAAATTGCTTAAAATTCCTCGGTATATCATAATTAAAAATATATGTAAATATATAGTATATTAGGTATATCTATATACTTATTAGAAAAGGAGACTATATTATTTATTCAAAACTAAATTAATTTCATCTCTTTAATATTTTCAAAAATCTATTATACATAGGTATATATATATATGAAAATTGTCTATATATTTCTACTCTATTTGTCATATTATATATTGAATTTGTACCTATATCTTAAAATTGAGCCTATATACATAAATTATTATCACATTACACTAGATTGAGGTATTGATAAATAATATTATTGATAAACACGCAATAAAATTAAATTAGAAATTATTTATAATTTGTAAAATAATATTATTTTAGTACAATAAATACAAAAAAAAAAAAAATAGTACTATATTGACATTCAGAAAAAGTTTAGATATTTTAGCTTTAAAAATTTTGATTTAAAAATTATTTTGGCTGCATAAAATGAAAGCACAGATGAAAATAATTGACCCCAAGCTTTTGGGGGAATTTTAAATGATACGAGTAACTAGCTATAATACAATTTTTCTCGGCTTCTTCTTGATTTTCTTAAAAAAAAATTTGCCTTATGCATTGGGGCATTTAGGCCTTCACACGTTTTGTATTTTCCAGCTTCTTCATTTTACGCTCAACTTTAAATTTTTTCCTGTTATTAAACGAATATTTTTATATTTAGAATTTCTCGGAATTTTCTGTTCCCAAATGAATTTTATTATATTTAGAATTTCCCAAAATTTCCTGTTCCCAAATGAATTTTATTATATTTAGAATTTCCGAAAATTTCCTGTTCCCAAATGAATTTTTTTAAAATTTATGAAAATTTCATTTCCTAGAAATTTGCACTCTCAGTACAATTTCATTTTACTTTGTCAACTATAGGTGCAATCTTATATATAGTGTGTTTTTATTTTAGGCAGTCAAACTTTAAATTTTTATTCTAAAACTTAGTAAAATTTTAAAATTTTTTCACACAAATTTTTTATTTTCATCTTAAAATGACAATCTATAAACTCTGTACAAATTATTTATTTAAATTAAAAACAAAAAAAAAAAATAAGAAGCTTAATTTAAAATGTATACTTAGTGTTATTTTATATAATATAGAAATATTAAAAAAAAAAATTTTACACATAAAAATTTTATTTTGAGTAATTTTTACTTTTTTTTTTTTGATTTTAATTAAAAAGCAAGACCTAAAAACACGTTCTATATATAAATGTATAAAAATATTTTATAATTTTCTAATTTCAACTGCATGAAATAATAATTATTATTAAATTTATATTATTATAATTTTTGTTTTACTTTATGTTATATACAAATATTTTCATAATATATAAATATATACTGTTATAACTTAATTATGAATATTATCACAATTATAAAGTTATTTTAGAAAAATAACTAAAATAATTTGCCTCAAAAGGAAATAATATGTACCTCAATGAAGCCCATCTACGAGTATACATACATATAATCAATATTCAATATTTTATAAATTTAATTTTAAAATATTGAATTGAAATATAATAAATATAATATAAAATGAATTATTTAATGCTAATTAATTTTAAGAAAATATTAAATATCATATAAAATGGCTTCATTATAAATGGAACAATAAAATTTGAATGATTTTATAAAAAATTCTATAATAATCGAATATCAAAAATATTTAATTCTAAAATATTAATAAAATATTATTGCCTTGCTTTTATTTCAATATTCAATAATGCTCAAATCAGAATAGCTTAAAAGCAATATTAGTTCGTAAAACAAAATTTATAGAATATTTCATATAAAATATTTGGCATATAATATGAAAAATTATTAGAAATTTTTTATTAAAAATTAAATAGAGATTTGGAAATTATTTTTCAAAAAAATTCAAATTCGAAATATTTAAAACAAATTTTAATTAAATTTTATATGAAGTTCATCTTCTATTAAGCTTCCTTTTATATAAATAAATTATTAAAAATTAGTTTTTTTTAAACGTTTATAATATTTTTATGATAAGGACAAATCACATTTGAAAAATAGTGTATAGAAACACAAACAAAGCATTGATAATGGTTTTTTTGCAACATTTCATAGGTCATATAATTGCATTTGAGTTGTTTTAAGTATATAAGAGTTTTAGGGCACGATCACATATTTAACTATTTTACTCACTACAACTAGATAACTTGCAATTATTAGTTTAAAGATATTAAATTTTAAAGATACAAAATTTAGCAATAAGAAATAATTTATCATGAAATATATCTAGTTTTGGCATTATCATTTTTTAGATATTTAAAAAAAACTTTTAAACTTATAAATATTAATCACAGATGAGACATCGATTCTATGACACCTAGTTTAATTATCTAAAAATATATAAAATTTTCGAGTTATCTTACTCTATCTCACTTATCTCTATTTTCGAGTATTATTATAGTATTATTTTGAGCATTAATCTCACGAGTATTATTGTAAAATGTTATTTTCGAGTGAGAAGAAATTTTTTCGTTTTGAAATAATTAACAAATATAAATTGAACACAGGACTAAAGTCTAACATAAGAAGAAGAAGAAGAAGAAGAAGTAATCTTATTGGAAAATTGAAATATCGATTTAAAAATACTGAGAATTCTTATTTGAAAGTGAATAAAAAGTGAAATGAAAAAGCGAGATATATGATTGGGCTTTCAATTGCTACCAGAGTAGTTAAGATTAGTGCGAAACGGATACCGATCAGTTTAAAAAGATTTATTCAACATTTTGCGTGTTTATAATTTTATATTCGAAAATGCATACATGCATATCAGAATTTCTGATAATAATTGAAAAAATGTTAAAAATTTTAAAATCTTAACAAATTAGGAAAACTCGAATTAAAAAATTAACTACCTGTCTATTTGTTAATTTATTCTTGTTAGAATTTTCTTATAAAAATTTTATATATAGTTGAAAATTATACGCTTAATGGAGCATTAAAAACGTTCTTAGTCTTATAATTATTATTTATTCTAATTATTCTAATTAATTTAACCAACTTGTAAATTGTATTATTCATTTTCCATATGTAACTCTTAATTCACAAGAGAAAAATTGAGAGAACAATGAGAGAATGCATTTGATATTTGATCAATCCTTTCTTTAAAACAAATATAATTAAATTGTGAATTTTGAGAAATTTTGAATGAAATTGAGAGTTCAAATAATTGAAAAATCTACTACATCCAATATCTGCTACAAAAAAAATCTCTTTTTCGGGGAAGCTTTTTTTTCTTTACTGACAAGAGACGTATGTTATAGTATTGTAGAATGATGAGTAAAAGACATTTACTGTTATGATACTAATATTATATTCTGTTAATTGCTTTCATGTTATTTAAATTAAATTATGGGAAATTGCATTTTATTATTGTGATTTGTTCTTATACATAAAACAAAAACAAGAAAAATATCAAAAAACAAACAAATAAAAATAATTTTAATATATTTATATTTAAAATATTATAGTTCCATATTAAATTTATTATATTATATATAATATTATTTATTTATAAAATAATTAATTATATTTCACACTTATTTAATATTTTTTTCTTAAATGAAAACTCACAATAATTTTACTTATTTTTTTTTTTTTTTTTTTAAATATTTAATTTTATCTTATTACTATTATTATTATAAAATATTAAAAACTATAAATATATTTTTACATATATACATATATATAACTTATTTATATTATTTTTTTTCTTTCTTTTTTTTTCCGTCTTCTATATTATATATAATATATATATATATTCAATATTAAATTTTTTTGCTGAAACTTAAAAAAAAAAATCTTTGTATATCTACACCGTCAAATTTGAAAATGAAAAAAATTGTAAATGATAATTTTGCTAAAATATGAAAAATATGAAAAAACAAAAACAATTATATAAAATGTGCACTATATACCACTATATACTACAATCAATGAAAATCAAATTTTGAAAAATATTATGGGAACATCAAAAAAAAATTAAAAAAATAAAATTTTTTTTTATAAAATGCATCACCCTCTCACAATAAAATAATCAAAAAAAAAAAATAAATATAAACGCGTCCATTTTATTTTTTTGTTGCTATACTACAACTACAACTACATAATATATATATATAAAAAATTTCATAATGAAAAAATTTCTTTGCAATACAAATAAAAAAAAAATTTGAATACAAAACATTCTATTGAAAAATTTATTTATTTTTTTTTTTTATATTATATATTTATTATATAATATATTCAAAAATTGAAAACACGCAAAAAAAAAACAAACAAACAAACAAAATTTTTGTTATATTACCTATTAATATAATATCGAAAAAACAAAAAAAAAAAAATCAGTTCGAAATTGGAACCACCAGAGAAGTTAGCATCTGCTTCCAGTGCAATGTAAGTCTCAAGCCATAATAAAAATTTATAGTTTGAATGAAATAAAGCTGTTATACATTCTTTTATATAATATATATATATATATATATAAATTTTTATTTAAATATATTAATTAATAATTATTACAGGCAATTTTAAATAAAAAAAAATTTTTATTATTTAAAAAAAAAACAATAATCAAAATTCATTTTTCGAAAATATTCAATAATTTTTGTAGTTGTGTTTTTTTTTATATAATTATTAAATATTATAACTATTATACTCATACAATATTAAACATCAATATTTTGTTTGAGATGAACAAAATTTTTTTTTAAAATAATTCATTCCTTTGTTCACATTAATTTTGGTTTCTGTTATAAATTAAAAAGATCGCATATGTATTTTAATTTCAAGATTTTTCTTGAAATTTTTTTCTATTTTTATAAAATATATAAAATTATATTAATATTGTTTGTTGCTAGTTCTATTATTATTATATTCAACATATAAAACAAGTGCATAATACCAATATCAAAAAATATAATATAAAATCAAATCAGAGTTAAAAAACAAAACCCATTGTTTTCTTAATTTATTGTTTCACTAAAAAATTTTTTTAATTTTAAAATTTTTCATATTTTTTCATATTTAAATTTAAATTCTTATATATTATTTTTTTTCTCACTCTCTCAATATTTTATTACAATTAAATATTATTTATAATTAATATTATATAAAGCATTTATTTTATGAATTTTCGCAATTATATTTTTTTCTATAGCTTCTATCGTATTTTATTAAAAATAATAAAGAGCACTTATGTTATTATATTGTAGGCAATTTTAATTGAATTTTTATATAAATTAGTTTTTAAAAATTAGCTTTATATTATACCTATAAATAATATAATTAATTAAATTAAATGTTTATTAGATAATAATATATATTTGTTATAATTATGCATAATTCTAGTTACACATTCACTCATTTAGAATATTGTTAGTTAAAAACCAACTCTGAATGCAAAAAAAAAAAACAAAAAAAAAAGTTATCATAAATATTAAATCAAGTTCTCTCTCTCTCTCTCTCTCTTTTTTATTTAATTCTTTATATAATGTATGAATTCTCTTAAATTTTACCTACAAATATTTTAATAATTACATTGATAACAATAAAATATTAACAGTGTTTTATTATACCTCATAATAAATTGGGAGAATTTCTGATAATAATATTGAGTATGAAGCAATGACTGTAGTGTTCCCACTCTGTTAAAATAAAATGTATACAATTTCGAGAAAAAAAATGTATTCAAAATGTATCCAGCCTCGTAAAGTAGATTTATTATACTAAGTCGTCTTATTTTACACAAATTAACTCATAATTAATGAGTTTTAATTTCAACAATGTGAGTTTTTGTTAGCTTATAGTAAATTTTTTTAAGAAATCACATACAATTTCTATTACATTTTAAATGTACAAGTTAATGTTAGAAAATACATATATGTATATGTTCTGTAATTGTTGAATTATGCGGTAGAGACAATTCATCATGAAAACAGACAAATTTTAAAAAGTATGCATTTTCTATTACATCTAGCTTACATCAAAATATTTCTTATCCAAATAAATTTGGAAATTTGTTTGGAAAAGCCAGCAAATAATATTTTTTGAAGATAAACCAATTTCACAATTTAATATTAACAGAATTTTAACAGTTTTGTAATATTTATGTAGTATTTGAAAAATAAATGTATTCATATTTCTGTAAAAATTTTGAAATGTAGCCAATTTTGGTATTTTAGCAGATTTGATTATCTATGTATCCAACCTTAATTTAAAGAAAAAATGAAATTTAAAGAAACGGATTTTTTAGCTTTTTTACCAGAATACTGATTAAAATTGTTAATATTGTAATTTGTAACAGTAAAAAGCTGTTAATTTATTTAATTAAAAATTGTATGTAAAAAGAGTTCATGCTCAGTAATTCAGTATTCATAAGTCTCGAGAAATTTTGCTATTTTCTCTAACAGAGATCAAGTATTATTAATTTTTTCTCTTTATTAATTTTCAAATAAGATTGTCTCTTTATACGATTCAATGAAATTCAATCAAATATCACATAAAATTCTTATACACAAATAATATTAAAGAGAGCATGAATAACAATATTAAGCAGGAGTATACAAAATAATCTTCTCTTTCTAATTTTGCTCATTTTAATTTGACATATTTCTGAACAAAATTAGAAAAAAAAATTAAAATTATTGATAACTATTTTTTTTTTTTTTTGCATTTTGAAATTTTTTAACTAATTTATTTCCAATAATTGTACCGAAAAGAAAAAGCAACAAATCATAATTTTATACTCAGTAGATAATTTTTAAATATTTTATTTTATGTAGAAAATATTGAAAAAAAAAATGTATTCAAATTTATGCAAAAAAATTTTTGTTTTAAAAATATTTTTCATAATTTAAATTCAAAAAAAAAAATTATCATCATAATATACATTACATGATTACATAGGGAAGTATATATATTAGATTTCATATATAAAAATTATTATTAAAAAATTCTCCCACACAATACAGACACCGCTCAAAATTGCTTTCTTTGCAATATTAAATTGTGAAAGTAAATAATCATAAACGCCTAAATATAATCAGAGATTTACATAATAAATAATTATTTAAAAAACAATATGCGCCCAATACAAACACAAACAATACAAGTGCATCTGCAGCAGCAATTTTAGTTTTACGCAAAATTAAACTAACTTTTTTTTTTTTTGTTGAAAGGCAAAACAGGAAGAAATGAAAAAAAGCAAACACAGTTCACATCTTGGTTTTAGCATTTATGTTCTAAAAAAAAGCAATCACAAGCAAAATAATGGCTTTTATAGTTGAAAACGTTTTGATTAAATAATTAATTAAAATGATGTCTAAACTTTTTTGTGATTCAAAAAAAAAAAAAAAATAAAATTTTATTCGAAAATTTTCTAACACTGTGTATAAAATAATTACTAGTATTATTAAAAAATGAAAGAATGAATTTTTACTAAATGAATAAAATTATAATAATTTTTTTTTTGAAAAATGAATGAATGGCAAATTGAAAAGTTTGTTTTTGGTAATGGAAAAATTTTTCAGCGATTCTTGTTATATTTGGATATGCAAAATATTTGGCTTTCTTGTATATATTATAACGAAGTCTTTTATGGTATGAGATTTTAGTATGATTACGCTCATTAACATTACGATATTAAAATATTAAAATACTTATACCATTTTAATCAAATCTAAATTAATGTATATAAAAATTTTACGCTAAAAAATAAATAATATTACAAATATTTTATATAGTTTACACGATTTGTGTGATCTTTATATTTTAATAGGTCACTCACTATAGTATTGAAAATAACCATACATTTCAACAGTGTTATTCGGAACTGATAAAAAATTTGAGAAAATTTCAAAAATTCTCTTCATATCTAAATTTTCTCTCTCAATAATATTATTATTATTACTATAATATTATAAACAATAATTATATGAAATATTTTCAGCGAAAATGAAATATTTTCGGCGAAAATGAAATATTTTCGGGTAAAATGGTACAAAAAATCTAATTTGAGATCTAGTTCATCTTTAAAATGATTATTTCTATAATATAAATGAAACTACTTTAATTCTTAACTTGTTGAAATTTTTCGCTAAGTTGAAATTTATATAATTATTTTTATTATTTTCTATAATAAAGCTAATTCCAATCCTCAATAATATCTCAGACAATCTAATATTTAAATCTACTTTTGACTTTTGCAATTTGTAGCATTGCAAAATTGTAAAAAATACAGAATTCGTCTCTTAGCAATGAAAATACTCAGAGTACTTTAAAGACCATTGAACAATTTTAAACTGTGTTTAATATAGGGTAAACATTTTAAAACCTTAAAAAACAGCCATCAAATTTTTTTTTTATAAAATTATTAAATTTTTTTGCAGTTTTTATAATTGGCACAAATAAAATATGGCAAAAACCACATTGAACAAAAAAAAAAATATATATAAAGAAAAACTAAACCGCATTTTCGTTTGAAATTCACAAAACAATTCACGAAAATTTTTTTTAATTTTGTTGATGATTTTTTTTGGTAATTTTTTTTTTTCATACAAAAATACTAAAATTTTTACAGAGAACTCAAGATCAAATCAGGTGCCATGGTTCAATATCTATATAGAAGAGGCCGACAAATAAAACTTTCTTCGCCCAGGTAACCAAAAATACAAAACAATTTTTCGTATGAACATCGAAAAAATAAAAAAAATAATTTCGCAAAAAAAAATATTTTTATATTTTTAATTACAAATTTACAAAAAAAAAAGAAAAACCTCTGATTTTAATTCTCTTTAAAAACTTCACCTAATTTCTTTAGAATTTATTTAATATTTTTTATATTAAAAAAAAATATGTGCATTTAATAACATTTATTTTCTGTTTTTCAATAAAAAAAAAAAAAAACTCAATTATTTGCATAATTTTTTTTCCAAAAAAAAAAATCTACAACAAATAAAATTTTATTGAGCCCAAAAAAGAAAAAAAAATTTAATAACAAAAAAAATTAAATTATTTTTAAAATTAAAAATTAAAAATAAAAAATTTTTTTTTTTTGGGACAAAAAAAAAATTTAATCTCATAGCATATTTTTCGGCTTCTTTTCCAATATTTTTATTGCCTTTGGATAATTTTTGTCAATAACACACAAATTGGATAATCATTAATTAAAATACTCTTTTTGTTGTTTTTCCTCGAACAAAACATTTTCTCCAGGATTAATTATTTGGTAAATGAAAACTTCATAGAATGGAATGGTGTATATTATTGTTTAAATTTTTGTTTTTCATCATGTTTCATTAAAAATGGGTCCATTTTTTTTTTTCAAAATTGTTGCTTATGTAAAGCAAAAAAAACAACAAAAATCTACATAGCACGTTATTCTTTTCACTTTGTATCTAATTTTATATAGTATTGGTTGAGGTGTGATCATAAAAGAAATTTAATATTAAAATAATAAAATCTTCATCAATTGCATAAATTTTGGCGCAACATACTTATATATTTTATGAATTTTTGTTATAAAAATTTTCTCTGTGTCTCTCTTACTTTTTTTTGTCTGTAATTTGTATTGTAATTGAAGGGATACTCTAAAATATTTTCTCTTTTACTCATTATTTTCTACTCATAAATATATGAAATTATATTCAAGTTGAAACGTTACTGTTACAGTTACTTTGAGTACTATACTCTTAAATGATTTTATTTGATATTTTATTGGCCTAACAACAATCATATAATCACAATCATACATCGCTCTTAATCAAGTTTTCAATTAAATTTTTATTTGCAATGAGAATGCCGATGTTCCAAATAAATTCCCACTATGTTGTGAGATGGCAGTAAAATTTACTCTCACATATTAGAGAATCACATTTGTTTTTTCGTATACAAAATGTAATCTCTGTTCTTATAATGTTCTTTTGCTCTCAATACCTAGAAATATTGTACTCTTTTTTTTCAAAGCATTGAATTTTTATAGAAAATTGTTGGTTCTCATCAATTTATTTTGATAAAACAAAATAATATAAATAATAGGAAAGGTTAATATTCTTCGAACATTAAACATGTTAGTGCAACATTAAGACTTAGCAATTTTTAACATAAATTAAAATAGATAATTTTTAAGTTTAATTTAGTTTTTGATTCAATTTATACGTCAGCGTACAGATGGTAATGTGCAGTTCTAATTTCTGTAAACATATTATGGATGTTATTTATAATAATATTTTATAAAGGTAGATTAATATAATTTTATTAAAATGTATATAACACGTAATTATTCGTTTATTTCTTTTTTTTTAAAGTCTTAATAATAATAAAATAAATCATTATTATTTATTTTATTCTACAATATTATTTAAATCAAGAAATAATAATTCACAAATTAGTTGTAATATTAAAACTTAATGTTTTTTTTTTTTTAATTAAAATATCTGTATTATATTGTACAACTATAAGATATTACCAGAAAAAAAAATGTATTATAATAGCTCTCAATTTATATCTGAGATTAAAATATAAATGAAATAATACTGCAAGAGAACGAAACACAAAACATTGTGATACATTTTGTTTGAAATAGAATCAAACACGTTCGAAATAAAACAATCTGTTATCTATACAAATTAATACAAAAATATAGAAAATTTAATATATTATAATTGTTGATAGTCGCGTATATTTTCATTTAAAAAAAAATTCATAATTTTGTGGTCCGCCACATTATCTGTACTATTCATTTAAATTCAATATATTATACAACATGAAAAATAATAATAATATAATATAGTCATTCCATTTTATTAGAATTAAAATTAAAATACAAAATAAATACTATTTAAAAAAAATATATATACATACATATATATTTTTCTTTCATTCATATATATATTTATATATTCGAAATTCAAAATGGTTATGGCTTTTTGCATGAAAATTTTCATTTAATTTTTATATTTAATCCTTTTGTTATTATTATTATTATTTTACATATTTATATCATAAAATATTCCCAATAGTTTAATTATACAAAAATTATTTTAAATAATGATAAAGGAAAAATATAATTTCCAAATAATTATATTATTTTTAATGCATTATTTTATTATAATAAAAAAATAGTGTATATTCTATAATTTTAATCGAATTTTAAAAATATATATATTTTTTTTTATAATGCTTTCACACATGATATTTAGATAGTTTCGATCAATGAATGAAAATTATTTGTTACCATTTTTATTTTTTTATAAAAGACATATTTGAAATGTGTTATACAAATATGTTTCTTATTATTTCCAACACGTATTGGTTAATAAATAATAGGCAAATAATATTAAATGAATTATAAAATTTAAAAAATGTGAAAAATAATTATTACTCGTATGTTTTTTAAAATTACTACAATAATATCCGGATTAATTTATAATATTAATTTTAAATGGATTACATTTTAAGCTAATTTATTGCGAACGCACAATATTTTGTGAAAAATTTTATTAAATATTAAAAATGAAATATTTATATTTATTGATGAGTCATATTGCATTTCTAAGATGCTTCGTTTGATCATACATGTTACATTAAACATGTCCATTTTGAATCAAACTGTATGATTATACTCGTATAAAACAAAAATGCTCTCTTTGCATGAAATCAGATATATAACAATATTGTTAAATTCTAAATAAACTTTTTTTTAAAATTGGAATTATTATGTAATTAAAATACAATTTGAATCAAACAAAAAATAAAATAAAAATGGTAACAAATAAGAAAAAAAAAACATTTACAATTCATATCAAATAATTAATTACGATTTACCTACTGTTATGACAGTAAAATTAATTATGAAAGTAGTTTGATTAAAATTTTCTATTTTTTTTATATAATAGTTATGCATAGCTTTGAATTTTATTAGCCAGTTAAAACCACTATAGCAAATTATATTCATCACCAAAATAATTAATGTTGCTATATTGTTATAAAATTTTTTTTTTCCATTTTCATTAATAGTCAATTTTAGATTTAGATTAATTAATTATCCCCAGAATTGTCCTGTATTATAGTTTTTAAGAAAAACTTTTACCCATTTTTTTAAAATTTTTTTTTTAATTTAATAAATTTTTAAATTTATTTTTTATATAAAATTTTTTTTTTTTGTTATATACACCCTGTTTTTCTTTTCTTGTTATATAATATTTTAATTATTAATTTTATTAATTATTTGAATAAATTTACGACAGAGCATTTTACAATAAAAAATTATCAAAATATACAAAATATAAATATTATACATATTTAATATAATAATTACTAAAAATTATACTAGTTTAAATAAAACTTAAAAATATTATTAACATTTAAAATATTTTTGTTTTACTTTTTTTTTAAAACACTCAAAATTACTCAATATTACACTCAGAGCTTTTTGCTTAAATATTTTTAAATTATATAAATTTTTTTAGTTTATTATTAAATAATTCTATTTTCATTTTAAAATATTTACTTTATTTTTTTTTTGTTCTAAAATTTTAATGAAAATTTTGTTATAATTATAGGAGAATGATAATAATATAAGAGTATATAGTTATAAAATCAATCAATTTCAATCGAAAATGTTCACTTAGGTTTTCAAACAAAAAATTTGTTATCTAAAATATTTTAGTCTCATCTAAAAATAATTTATAAAATTAATTAATTTTTAATTGACAATATCATAATTGTTTTCATTTTATGAATTAGTACCTAATTTTTGATTGATTCTATTGACTAGGGACTGTATAACAAATTGAAAATTTAAAATTACAAATTCAATAATGTCAAATAAAAATTTTTTGCCAACTAGAAAATAATTCTAAAGATTTATTTTAATTTTTCAATATTGAGTTCATTAAAGAATGTAAATTAACAATGGTATTAAACTTTATCGAACTTTATCGAACATGTTGCATCAAACATGTTGTATTCTTAATGTGTGTCAAACAAAATAATCAGAAATAGGACGTTAAATATTATTTCACTCACATTATTATATAAATGTATATAAAAAAATTTATATACACAAAATAAAAGTAAAACTTTATCGAACATGTTGCATCAAACATGTTGCATTTCTAATATAATATAAAAGAATTTATGTACAATAAATAAAATACATTTTTTCAAAATCTTGTATTTTTAATATGAAAATTTAATTTTTGTATTTTGTTTTAATAACAAATTTAAATTTATTTTCATAAATTTTTGGTAACTAATATTGCACAAAAAAAAAAAAAAATTTTAATAAAAATTAATTTTTCAAATTGTTTTCAATAATTTTTATTCTTGTTTTTTTAGTGATAATTAATAATTTGTTTTTGTTTTTATTTTTATAGTGAATTGTTGAGAATTTTTTTTTTGATTTGAGAATTTCGTTTTTTTTTTCTTTTCTTTTATTTTTATGTTTTCCTTTGGTTTTTTTATTGGTTAATGTGCTTCTTTATTATGCTTTATGTTTGCGCCGCACAACCACTACAACTATTACTATTATATCACAATTATTACACTACTGCTATCATATTCAACATAAACACCAATAAACGATGTGCCTTCATTTTTGTGTTCCCGATTTTTCTGTTTTTTTTTTTTTTTTGTTTCTTTACATTGTGCTCAAACAAATCACATACAAATACGATTTTAATTCCACAAAATATATATACGCTCACAATATCATACACACACACAAACACAAAATTAATATATTTTTAAAATAAATGTGCCGTCCACACGCACCCGCACACACATATATGTACAAAAAATATAATTCAATTTCAAAAATTTCATATATTTTTTCCAATTCACAAACATACATAAATACATACATGATTACATAATATCCATATAAAATATGATTTTTGCACGAATAAAAAATAATTTGATGCACGCACACCACATTACAAAAAATTTCCTTTCTTTTTTTTTTTTTTTAATTTTTTTCTTTTTTAAATTTGATAAAAAAATCAAATTTTTAATGCATACATTATAAACGCATTCAACATATTATGTAAAAAAAACTACATACATAAATCAAAACAATACAAAAACATGAATACCTATCGTAATTTTCCTTATCCCATTGTGATCCTTATAACGTTTTAAAAATTTATATAATAAATAAAAAAAAGTTATCGAACAAATCGTATATCGCTGATTAGGCGGGCATCTTCTAGTTTCAAACATAATGCATCATTTGTGGCACGGTTACCAACCATCCGAAGGCATAAAAGTCAATCATTACATTCACCGGGCAATCAAAAAACACCAGGAAGTGATCGATTAGGTAGTGGAACTGGTGGTGGAAGCGGTGGCGGAGGTAGTGGTGGTGGTGGTGGTGGTACTGGATCAACTCGTACAACAAGATGTGCACGTTTAAATGATATGAATACATCAGCAGAGAATTTGGGTAAGAAGAAATTTATAATAATATTTTATTTTATTAATTTTTTTTTTTTAAAAAAATTATTTTTAAAAATCTTTTTCTAATCTTTTCCTTATGGTGTGTTGTTCCATTTTATAATCTATATATATATTATATTTTTTTTTACACAATTCTAAATTTAATTTAATTATTTTTTTTCTTTTGGTATTTTTTAAAATTCTTATAATTTTTATTTATTTTTACAATATGTTTATTTTTGTAAATTTATTCTTTAAAAATTATTAATTAATTAATAAATTAGTGCATCCCTAAAAGTATGCAATTCAACATTTTCTTTATAAAAATATTAACTGTTTTGTTAGATAGCTAGCTATCAATCAAACAAAAAATTTGTTGAATTTTTTTCAAAAGTGTAGAACTTTTTGTATTATCGGTATTAACATTTTCTTGTATGTGGGCTCCCAAATATCCCTTGGCTTGCCTATAATTTTATTAATAATTTTTAAAGAAATAAATTTTTATTTTTAAAATATTTTCATTTTTTCACAATTTCATTTTCATTATATTTGATTTTCGTTTATTATTAAATTTTTTAATATTAATTTGATTTGATTTTCTAATATCTTTTTAAATGTTATTTAATATTATAATTATTATACTCACTATATCTAAACTAATAACTAACACATTTAATTATTATATACATTATTGTTTTCACAATATTATTTCTATATATATATATATATATATATATATATATACAAATTAATTATTATGCGTCTTCTTATTTCCAAAAAAAAAAAAATAATAATTTCTTCTATTAAAAATTTTACATTTTTAATATTATTAATAATTCTTTTAATATTATTTTTCAAATAACTTATTAAATAAAAAAAAAATTTTATTAAAAAATTAATAACTATTTAACAAAAAAAAAACACAAAAAACTTGCATTATTTGTTATATTTTTTTGTAAAATGAAGCAAAAGAAAAAATTCTGTCATGTTTGAATTTAAAAATTCAGAAATTTATAAAGCAAAATGATGAAGAAATGAGAAAAGTTCTAAGCATTTTATAAACTTTTCTTAGAAATTTTAATAATTTATTGTGGTGTCCTTTTGTATTAAAAAAGCAAAAAAAAAAAAAAATTGAAAAGCGAATTTAAAAAAAAGGATACTATTTTGGTATTTTTACTTCAATATCAATGTCGTACAAAAATTAGTAAGTAAATGTAAAAAATTAAAAAAAAATTGAGTTGAGAAAATGAGTTCGAATTTCTAAATGTAAATTGTTTTTATATTTCACTATTATATTATTATTATTATTATTATTTTTTTGTATTAAATTTGTATAAATAAATTTTAATATTTTAAGATAAACGTGTTTGAATGTTTAAAAAATTATTGTTATTTCTATATTATTAATATTATTATTATAATTATTATTATTATTAAATATAATATTTAAATATAAAATAAATTCAAGTTTAAAAAAAATAACTCAATACTATCACTCATATTCTGGTAGTCGTATATCGCATGCAAATATTGCATGTTACTATTACGCCTATTTATTATTATCGTCGACGTGATAATTAAATGTGGTGCGAAACTTGACTTGCTGGTTAAAAATGTTAAAATTATCATATATGCTCTTTCTATAATTCTTTCTGCTTAAGAATTTTAAAAAATTTTATGCTATTTAATAGTAATTTTTTTATTACCTCAATAATTGCACTCGATGCATCATAACGTGAGAGTTTTTCTAATTTAAATCTCAAAAATAAAATGGAAAAAACGGTAAAGTTTGTAATTACAAAAATTATATTTAATTAATATTGAATTGTAAAAATTTTGCTCTACTCACTTTTTATATTGATAATCGATGTATCGATTAATTATAGGTTCAATAATTTCTGAAATAATGCCAAATAATTTTTGGAGTTGTATAGTACTCATGAGATCACAACAACTTTTAACGAATATAGCTGCCATTTTATTATATTTGTTTTTGCAAAATTTCAGTAGGTTGAACAGTTTTGAAGATATATCCAAATAACTTTTAAATTTGTATGGCAGCCATCAGGCATAAGTATTATCAAACACATTGACCCTACTACAATATTCACTTATTCGAAATTTGAATACCGTAATTTTTATAATATTTCAGATATTTTGTTATATCTGAAATATTATAAAAATTAATTATAAATTGTGAAAATGTATAACAGTTCGAGTAGCTACTGGTTCAAGTAACCAATACCTTTTAAATTTTTTGTGACGTCACGTCAGCTGTTAATGCTTACCAACTTAAAAAATATATTTTTTATCGCATCCACGAACACGACTATCACAAAAGGCATATTTGAGGTGATGCGATAGTTTTTTCTTTATCATATTAGTGACGCGACGAACAGAATATATGGGTGTATATATAAATATATAATATATATATATTTTTTTAAAATTTAAATAAATGCATTTAAAATTGATGTCGTGTATAATAAAAATTCAATTAAAAATATTTTTTTTTCTATTTAATTATTATTTAGTTTTTGTATAAATTTTATTTTTTAAATTTCCTTATGTTTTTATTATTATTTATTTTTTTTTTAATTTAATTTTTGTATATTTAATTTATATTTTATTTAATATTTAAAAATAATATTTTGTTTTAATTGATGTTGCAAATGAAGTTTATAATAAATTAAAATTTTAAATTGTTATATAATATGTAAGAGTTGAGCATCTTAATTTTATTTTTTTATGTATTATTTATAAATCAAATATAATTTAATTAATGGAATTTTTATAAGAAATTTAAAAAAAAATTTAAAGTATTATTAAATATTTTATTGCTTTTCTTTTTTTTTTTACATAACATTTGTCATGTTTGAACCATTTTATGTATACTTTTTGTATTAGAGTGTTTCTCTTTTATTGAGATTAATATTATTATAAATAATTTAATAAGAAAATGTTAGCTTTTAGTAGAGTAATTTCATTATTGTTCATTGTGAGAAGTAAGTACCATGACAATACTGATGGTATGGTACAATAAGATCGAGAAAGAAATATAGAGAGATTAAATAGCTGTACAGTGATAATAGAGTGATTACGTGAATAAAAGAGAAATTTATCATAAAATTTTATTAATTTATTTTTAAATTAATTTATTTTTTATTATAAAAATTTCATTTAAAGTTGAGTAAATTAATTTCTAGATAATTAAATCTTGTTTTTTATAGAAAAATACCCACCACATAATTTTTGTATTTTTTGCAAAATTTAAGCTACCCACATATTTCGTGTGTTAACTACAATTTGGTGCAATTCAATAATTTCTGATTTTTCTGATAATTTCCGGATCGTAATCATTAAAATGTTCATCAAAAAATCATTAAAAGAATAAGATAAATTGAAAATAAAATTCTTAAATATTATTCAATACATTTGATTTTTTCTCATGTTAAAATTTTTCTTTGAAATTACCATATTTTGATAGATTTCAAATTTAGGGTGGCCTAATCGTCTATATCTCGCTATTTAACTCGGCAAGTTAGAAGAATGCGAGTAAATATCATAAATTTGTATGATGTAATTTTCGAGTGAGAATAATTATTCGGTATTGTGTATCTCGTTTTTTTCCTAAAATGTATAAACAAAATTTATTCACTTTGTTTTTGAATGTGAGTCGTTCACTTGATAATTTGAGAAAAAATGTAAAAAAATCAATTGAAAAAATGAGTAATTTTATTAGTTTAAGCAATAAGAGCAATTCTAATTTGAAAATGAATAAAAATCGAGTCAAAATATCTAGATACAAAATTCAATTGAAAGTTCTAAATGTTATGTAAATAAAAAAGAAAATGCAATAATTAAAATTAATAATTTTCCTTTTTGTCCTTTAAATTAAGAAATTCAACAAAAAAAAAAAAAAATTTTTCGTTTTTTAACAAAATTCAAAATAGTTAATACATTTTATATGTATAACATATTAATATAATAGTTTTTATATAAATAACGTGAATATCATTGATGAGTAATTCAAAAAAAAAAAAAAAAGCAAAAAAAAAAACTCAAAGAACAAAATCGTAAAGAAAGAGAAAACAAAATTTTTAAATTCATACATTACAGAAGTAACAAATAATGGAAGGCGTTTGAAAGCAAGTCTAAGTGAAGATTCTGTTGCAGAAACGGCCATCTCTAAAAAGAACTCGGATGGTAAGTATATAAAATACAAATACATATTTCGTATAAAAAATTGAATTTTTTTTTTTTTTTTTCAAATATTTTTTAAATTAAAAAAAATATTAAAAATAAAACGAATTAATTAATTAATTAATTAATTAATTAATAATCATAATAATTATTATGAATTAATCATTTTTCTCTTAAAAATGATTTTCTATGTTTGCGATGCATGTTGCATAATATTTCATATATATATTAATAACAAAATATAGGTATATAGTAATTAAAAAATTCGAAATAAGAAAAAATAAGAGAAAAAAAAATTTTCTTTCTTATTTTGTTTTTTTTTTTTTTTTAGAATGTCATACGTTAATAATGCTTTTAATTAAATATTATAAAAAATTGTTTAATTGTTATAACAGGGAAAATTTTATGCTATAACTCAATATAATTGAATAAATCCCAAAGATGAACTAATTGGAATTTGTAATATTCCAAAAGATTTTCGATATTCTTGTAGTTTTAAATAAATTATGCCAATTATTTTTGAATACAATTATGAAGTTTTAAAATTATAACTTAATATTATTAAATTATTTAATTGAATTCGATTTTAATCAATATCCTATACTTTTCTGGGTTTTACAAAAATTCCAAATTCCAAAAATTGTTATACAATATTGAAAATTTAAAAAATATTAATAAAAATTACAATTCTATCAACTCGGAATTGTATTATAGAATTAATTAAGAAAATAAAATTATTTTCGTCCTTACACAATATTGAGGTCCTCATAAAAAGCAATTAAACAATAAATTTTATTCGTAATCCCCAATGTTTAATTTCTATATTATTAATTAATATTAATAAATTTGTGCTTTCTAATTTTTTTTTTACAATCTAGCATGCCCATATTATTTTTTTTTCTCTCGATATAATATGCATGATATAGAATTTTTTTTAGTTGATGTTTTAAGTACGTATTTAAATATAATATTGACAACTTACTATATTAAATAATAAAATCATAAATTTAATAATCAATTGGATTAAAAAGAATATTATTTAAGTTATTTTTCTCTTGTTTTATTTTATTTTAATAATTAATTTAAACAAAAAATATATACGATATTGAGTTCGAAAATGGAAAAATAATAAAAAAGAAAAAATGTTAAACCTTAAAAATTTTTTACAAATTAAATTTTTTATTTATAATTTTAATTTTCTATCGCCACCGTAATTATTTTATGATTATGAAAACTTGAATTGGTTTTATTATAGAACAGAAACCAAATCTATTTTCTACAATTTAATAAAAAGCAATTTGAAAATTGCCTTCCAAAATATTATTTTATTGTTTGACTCTCAAGAATTTTTTCAAAATATTTTCTTCACTAGAATTTTGTTTTTTTAATCAAAAATATTTTTAAGGTATGTTGTTCTAAATAGTTGTTCTACAGTTTCAGAAATGTAACTATAACAAGTTTTTGGTCTTGTTCTTAATATTAAAATTTCAGATTCAGATTAAATTTTAGTATGAGAATATGTTAAATTGTTCCAAGTATAATGCACTCTTTTAAGAGTGGGGAAATGAAAATAAATTTTTTTTTGAAGTGAGGGTTGTATGTTTGTCTGTCTCTCTGTCTCTGTTTGTCTGTCTGTCTGTAATTCCTTAAAATTTTTTATTACTTCACGATGTTAACACAATGAGCTACCTAGCTTTTCAAGTACATTAGATTCGAGAAACTGTACGAATTTGCTATGAATCGAATTTACATTTTTTCCTATACATACTCGTATATAAAAATTTTAATAATATAAATGCAGTTGATAAAAATAATGAAAAACCAAATTTTTTTTGGAATACCAGAAAAAGCACTGTCAATATTTGCGCTCTATTTGAGAACGAATTTTTCAAAGAATTCGGGTCTCAGAAAGTAAACAATTTTATTAAAAACGAAATTTACATTTTTCTTGGTATATTAACTAAAATGTTACTTTCATAGAATTCGTAATATTTTCAAATTTTGTTCAATAATTTCCGTGGAATTTCATATTATTCAGAAAATATGCATTGCAGTCTGTTGTGTGCTGTTTACATCAGTGACGGACCTTCCATATATGCAAAGTAAGCATAGGCAATGAGCATTGCCAAACAGAATCGCATTCATTATGCGCAATATGAAATTTTAATTGAATATAGTTCATTGTTTTGCAAGCCGAAAGTCGCACTTATTGGAAACCGCTTAGGGCGCCGAACATTTCAGAACCAGACCTATTTCACATTAAATTTTCCCTATTACTATATATTTTAAATTTATTGAGCAACATATCATTAAAATGTTTAGATATCAAGCTATATACGACACTATACTGCCATTTTTAAAAGAGCAGAATTAATCGTGTAACACGCATGTGACATGGTATATTCGTATGATAACACAGAAAAGAACCATTAAATAACTCTGGAATGTGCTGATATTTTGGTAACTACTATTTTACTATACGATTTTACAATGAATTCTCTCAGTGTAAAAGGGATCATGCAAATCAGAAATTCTATATTCAATTCAATATAATGATGAATAATATTGAATTCAAATTGTAAAACATGTCATGGTTGTGTGATACGATTCTTTTGTACTCTTAAAATTGAAAAAAAAAATTTCTTTCACAATAAATATACCAATAATATTTATCCATTTTTATAAAAAAAAAAAATTTCTCCCCTTCCCCCAAGTTTAATTGAATTTTATACAGTTATAAAAAGAAAAACCCATTACAACAGTGGTTATTTATTTTCTGATTATATTATTAGATATTTTGTGTCTAATTTATGCATTCATCATTAACCCACCCACCTATTTAAATTTTAATCTTTGAAAATATTTTTTATAATATAGATTTACAAAGAACCAGGCATTATTTTCAAAATTTGTTAAAGTTTAAAAGTTCAATAATTTTTTGAGTTTTATTGATCTTACATTATTTTCCCCCCAGATTCTCTTTCTTTTTTTGCCCCAGATTCTCTTTCGTTCTTAAATTCCTAGGAGTAAATTTTGCCATACTATACGATGAGTGCATTTTTATAGTTCTTTATTAACTCTCTCTCTCTTTCTCTCTCTAGTTACATTATATCTGATGATCACAATACCTGTATATAATTTTATGTAAATAGAGAAATTTTTGAAATATACTTTCTCTTAAATTCTATATAAACTACAAATTTTCTTAACAATATTTCAATTTTTTTTCTCTTCAATTTTCACTCATCTTCTTCTTCTATATCTTCTTCTCTTTTAAAATAGATCTCAAAAATTCAAAATAATTTTTATTTTCTCTGATTATCGTATTCTTTAGGATTATTATAAAATTTAAAATCAAATAAAAATAAAGTAATATTTCAAAAAAAAAAAATATAAAAATTAAAACACAAATTATTTAGTAATAATTTTATTCAAGAAAACAAAAACAAAACTAAAAAAAAAAATAAAATAACAAATAAAATACCAAAAACAAAAATAGAAAATTCTAACTCTTTAGATACATTCAATGAAGAAGATGAATTTTCATCGGCCGCACCAAGCCCATTTAGTGATCGTAAAAATAGTTGTGTGAGTGAAGATGATGAACAAAATATACAAACAATTCAATCACCATTAATACAAAGAAAACGTAAATCTATTGAAAATGTTGGAATTAATGGACCATTAACTGTTAGTGGTGCATCAGTTTTGCCGTTAACTGTTAGTGGTGCATCAGCATTACCAGTTATGTTATGTGGTTTATTACCAAAAGATTATGTAACAACAAATGAATCATCATCAGGATATCGAAGTCAATTTAAAAAATCACAATATTTTATAACGCCATCTGCCAGTACTGATCATATTAAAAATGTTGGTCGTGCGTAAATTTTATTTTTAGTTTTAAATTTTTCTTTTGTTCTATATTAAAAAAATTTTTTTAAATTAAAATTTTATAAAAAAAAAAATACAAAACTTAAATCATATTAATTGTTTATGTTACAAAAAAAAAAAATTTAAATAAGAACAATGTAGCCAAAAATTTTCAAAAATTTTTATGTTTTATACACAAATTATATTTGTTTTCCAAAAAAATCACATCTCTTGCATCACATATTAAGTATAACATTAAAATTTTTCTATGTTACACAATTTATTCAAATTTCCGAAGCACTTATAATTTCTGTATTCTGCCAATCACAACATGATTAGAAAATTTATCAAATATATCGTTGATTATTGCACAAAAGAAATGATTATATTCTCAGTAAGAAAATCTTATAGTAGGGTAAATCATGAATTGTTTGGCAATATACGATTAATAGTTTTCGTTTTTAATGTTATATGCTTCATTTAAATGCCATTTTTACTTTTTCTGCAAATAGTGTTATAAAAAGTGATTTGATTGCAATGATATTAAAATTTATAAAATTTAAATTGAATCAGTTTCCTAATATTGTCTATATATGCCTATATATTGGTAATCAATTCCAATAATATATTTACTTGCTTCATAATACATATATATACGGAACGTAATATTACAATGATATTAAAATTCAAGTACAATATTTGCTAAAATTCAAAAATATAACAAATATTTTAATTAATTAATTTTAACACTTATTAAATTTAATGCAAAATTACATTTTATTAATTATTTTATTAAAAATCCAATAGGAATAGGAATAGAAAATTTATGAAAATATTTTATAAAAAATCATTATTTTAATGCTAAAATAGTTAAAGAGAGAAAAATAATTTACATTGAAATGAGAATGTTAAAATTTCTCTTTAAAAAATGAAGGAAATCACGTACTGCTTTTTCACCCCATACTGCGCTCACAAATTTAGTTTTTTTATAATTTGATTTTTGTACATAATATAAAATTCTATCATAGTTTTATAATTATAATTTTATATATTAGTACTAAACTATTTTTTTACTGTGTTTTACAAACATATTGCAATATTTGAAGTCTCGGACCCAATTGCAGTACATTTAATAACCAATTGTATTAAAGAGTGATATTTTTTAAGAGATGACCTCATTTACATTTGAATTTATTAAAATTACTAGACTGTTATATAAACTTTAATTATACAAGTATATATTTTTTTTTTTGAATTGGTATTCATTCTGTACAATATTTCAGATATTGTACACAATGTTATAATATTAATGAAATATAAATTTAATTCAAATTCAATATATGTTATTTAAAAATGTATTATTACCTGCACAATGTATAATTATAAAAATATAAGAATATGGCTACTATACAGAGTTGCCGGGACTCAATGGTATTCTCGAAACAGGGTGATAGAATAACTCCAGATAAACAAAAACTCTTGTTCTCGAGTTATAGCACCTCAAACTTAAAATGTCCGACAAGCGTCAAATTTTTACATTTTATAACTTGGGAAATATGACAGATGAAGTTAACTTTGCATACTCTTTATAAAGCTAATCAAATTCTTCCTCTAACGGTATACTAGTTAAAAAAATTTCTTTAGATTTTGAAAAAATAATATTAAAAATCTCAATTATCACATTTTAAGTAGTCTTTCTTTCAATATTCAATTAAAAAACCGCTCAATCTCATTGAGAGTGAGTGAGCTAACCATTAGGAATTATTTATAACAGTATATTTTTTTTGAGATAACACATTGCCGAGTACAGGATACAGAGTGGATTGGTTGGTTGGTTGGTTGGTTAGAGTGGCCGGTGCGACCCGACTGGCCAACACCCCAATTAGCACCGACGTGCCGTTTTGCTACCACCGCCTCGTGAAACCCGGTTGTCAAAGTACGTTGGTCCAGGGCCAGCGATCAGAGCCACCCCGTTCTTTTAAGGAACTTATTTACGTCCCCGATACTTTTATTAGAAATGTTCCCCAGTTCCATTATGTCCGTTTCCCCAAATGACAACAACCTGGCCCTTTGAAGAGCCGGACACTCGCAGAGATAGTGAAAAAGCGTCTCTTTTTTGTCTATCTCCCGACAACTGCGGCATGACGTATTAAAGGGAATTCCCAGCCTAGCTGCATGATCCCCCACAGGCCAATGCCCCGTGTACACAGCCACTAACTTAGCTATGTCCGGTCGAGGCATCGCCAGGAGGCTCATTGATTTCTTATGGTCGTATTTCGGCCACGTCTTCCTAGCCGTTGCACATGTGCTCAGGCCCCTCCACCTGCGGTCCGCACATGCCACTTGGAAGCGGTATATATCAGTTTTGATGGTGTTTATAGGGACAAGAACTCGCTCGGCCCTGGAGCCGTCCAATGCCGACCCACATCTGGCCAGCTCGTCAGCCCGCTCGTTTCCTGGTATGTTCCTATGTCCCGGAACCCAGAGTAAGGTGATACTATGATGACTGCACAATCTCGTCAGCTCATCGTAGCAAAGCCCTACCAACTTTGAGAATATCTTTGGCGAATTTAGAGCCAGAATCGCAGCCTGACTATCCGTCACAATTGCGACCTCCCGGGCCACAACCAAATCCCTTCCCAGGATTTCGCATGCCTTCCATATGGCGAATACTTCCGCCTGGAACACGCTTGATCCGTTGGGAAGGCGATATGACTCCGATATGTTCTGAGTCCCTGAAAATACTCCAGCACCGACCCCATTCCTATCCTTGGAACCGTCAGTGAAGAGAGCAACATCAAAGCCTTGCAGTGGAAGATTTCTTTTCCACTGCCCGCGAGACGGAAGCTCAACCCGAAACTTCTTGTCAAGCTCAAGTCTAGGGATGCAATAGTCTGTAGCATCCGCAACCACTCCGTCCGGTAGTGACTGAAGGACATTGCTGTGGCCATACGGCCTTTCGTGCCAGCACTCAGCCTCTCTGAGTCTAACGGCGTTTGCCGCGGCCAGATTCCTAATATGGATGTCTGGTGGAAGCAAATGGAGGAGTACATCCATAGCGTCCGTGGGCGTCGATCTCAATGCCCCCGTAATGCTTATGCATGCAGCCCTCTGTACCCTACCGATCTTGGTACAGTTGTAAGCTTTCCCCAACGCCGGCCACCACACGAGTGAACCGTAAGTTAATATAGGTCGTACAATGGCCGTGTATAACCATAAAACCATTCTAGGTTTCAGCCCCCACCTCCTGCCGACCATCTTTTTGCAGGTGTAAAGTGCCGTACAGGCCCTGTTCACCCTCTCTTGCACGTTAAGCTTCCAGTTAAGTTTAGAGTCGAGTATGACTCCCAAATACTTAACCGCCGGACTCAAACTGAGCCGCAAACCACCCAATCGAGGCAGTCCAAAGCTCGGGATTTTTGTCTTAGTCGTAAAAAGTACAAATTCCGTCTTGGCTGGGTTCACTCCAAGGCCACATCTTTTAGCCCAAGAGCTCACCACATTTAGAGATCCTTCCAAAACCCCACTGATTGTTGGAAGGTCAAAGCCGGAAACCAGGATTACTAGGTCGTCAGCGTATGCCACTGCCTTCACTCGCCTTTCTTCAAGTTGCAGTAGAACCTCGTTCATAACAACAAGCCACAAAAGTGGCGAAATCACCCCACTTTGGGGCGTTCCCCTACTAATGTACCTTGCGACACTACTATCACCAAGATCCGAATACAGGATCCTGGTCCGCAGCATGGATAATATCCAGCGTACCAAAGCATCTTCCAACCCCAACTGAGTCAGAGAATTTTCTATGGCCCACGAACCAATATTGTTGAAAGCCCCTTCCACGTCTAGAAAGGCCGCCAACGTGTATTGCTTATAATGGATAGATTGTTCGATAGTCCTCACTACCTCGTGTAGTGCGGTGTCTGTGGACCTTCCCCCGCAATATGCATGCTGGGAAGGCGGAAGTCGAACTTCCTTCATTCTGTTCCTGAGCCCTAGCTCCAGAACGCGCTCCAGCGCCTTTAGAACGAAGGAAGTCAAACTAATTGGTCGAAAATCTTTGGCGCCCTCATGGCCCCTTCTTCCCGGTTTGGGAATGAAAACAACTTTTACACGTCTCCACGACTTGGGCACGTATCCAAGGATAAGACAACTTCTAAAAACTTTTAGAAGCCACGGAACTATTAGTTCCTTCGTCTTCTGTAACATAGCTGGAAATATCTCATCTATCCCCGCCGTTTTGTATGGAGAGAAGTTGTCTATCGCCCAGCTAACCTTCTCCACCGTTATAATAGCTTCAACCATTTCACTCGACACAGGCTGCCCCGGAAGGGAATCCAACTGGATAGCCTCCCGAGCCGACCCGGTATTACCCGGGAAATGCGTGTCCACTAGTAAATTGAGAGTTTCCATAGATGTTTTTGTCCATGTCCCACCCTCATCCTTCAGAAAAGAAGGACCGGTATGGTCCTTGGAAAGCACTCTGCTCAATCTGGCAGAATCCCTGGTACATTCTACAGTTCCGCAAAAATCCCTCCAACCCTGGCTTTTTGCGGAACGGATAGCCCTTTTATACTCTCTCAGGCACTCCTTATAAGGTTGCCAGAACCCATTCTTGTAGCAGATATTGAAGACATCCCTGGTAATCTTCCGGAGATTACTCAAATCTTCGTTCCACCACGGGGGATACTTTTTTTTTGAATATTTCAAAGGACAGGATGCTCTGAAAGCCACGCCCATGACTTTCTCAAATCCACTGATTTGCGCATCAAGTTCTTCGACTTCCTTAATATAGTTGTTAATATCGGGCATGACCATGAGCTTGGCCCGCACGATGGCTCTGAATTTAACCCAATCTGTTCTTTTAGGGTTCCTAAAAGGTTTGGGATTCCCAACTTCGAATCCCACCGTGAAGACTATCCAGGCATGGTCAGAATACGACCTTTTGCTAGATACCCTCCAGTCCTCGATTATACAGTTGTTAGTTTTGAGTGTTATATCTATCACATCTTCCCAGCCAGCAAACCTGTCTGTGCTAGGAAAAGTGAAGGTAGGGGTGTTGCCTCTATTTGCTATCTCTAGATTACTATCTAAGACAAAATTAAATAAAGACTTACCTCGTTCGTTGATCTCTGTGCTGCCCCAGAGGGTATGTCTGGCATTGGCGTCGCAACCCATAAGCAGACTTGCTCCTTCGGCTGCGCCAACCTCTGCTAGGTTTTGAACTTCCGGAGGTGGAGCAGGCCTATCATGAGCCATGTAGACTGAGCTTATTAATAGGTTCCCGCCGTTTCCTTCAATCCTCACCACCGTCATGTCTGCGGTACTGAAATTAGAGCAAAGAAAGGCTTTTATATGTTTTTTAGTTAAGACACAAGTTCTGATCTTACCTTCAGCTGGATCTACAATCCTGTAGAATAGGTTGTATTTCTGGGTGCCCAGTCCCTTTATCCTGTTACCGTTCACCCAAGGCTCCTGAATTAGAGCGATGTCGATGTCTTCCTCTTCTAGGAAGATCAATAGGTTATCCGAGGCTAATCTCGAATGCTTGAGATTAACCTGGATTACCCTCATCGCTCTTGCTCTTATCAGCCACCTCCATCTGTTCAAGGAGCTGGCTCGCTTCTTCTATGGCGTCCCCTTCTGGGTCCGCATTTCGAAATATTTTGAGCTTGGCATGCCTTATGCCAAACCGCAGTCTGTTGTCCCTCCTGTCCAACGGCTGTAGACTCTCCTCATTAATGAGAAGTAGGAAGGACTCACTGTTTTTCTGAGGTTCCTCCTTCTTGATAATTTGCCAATCATCCATCGGCACCTCAGGATTGGCAATCTTTAGGACCTTTAGCAACTTGTCCCCCGCAATATTCATCTTAGGGATCCAAATACGAGCCCGGGGTCTCCTAGGAATTTCCTTAGCTGGGATGAGCTCAATCTTGGACCCATCCCATGTATCGCTAATCTTAGCAACACACGAACTAAGAAAATCCCCGGAAAGCCGGTCCTCGCATTTGATCACCCTGTAGCCCCTGACTACCTCAGATGAATCGAAGCTCAGGACTTCGTTGCCATCGGTCGTTAGGAGATGTTCAACTACCATCTCCGATAATTTTGCTTCGACCTTGCACCATAATTCGGAGGACAACTTCAGGTTGGTAGACTTTCTGTCCACCACCCCAAACTGGAGATGATCACGGACCACCTCGCTCATTGTTCTCCCCTGTGCATGATTACCACTTGATGTTGAAGGTCTGGTTGTCCCTGGCTTGACGACCTTCGACCTTTTGCTCTCTTGAGCATTTCTTTCTTCATCTTGAGACCTTACTCTTTTTGTGGTCTCCTGAGGCTTCGTGCTCTTATACGCATTGTACTCGTCAATTACCTTCTGGTATTTGACTTTGTCCTCCGCGTCTTTTTCAGAAGTTTTACCTTCTGCTTCATTTTGGGCAATCTTGCCTAAAATGAAGATGGCCTTCGAATATCTCTTCTTGAGTACGAAGGCAGGTCCTGATTTTCTGCTTTTGGAACTATGGCTGGTTCCTTTAGCTTTTTGTGTAGATTGTTTTGGTGGTTTTGCTACCTTACTGGTTTCATCACCACTAATCGATACACCTGCTTCCTGACTGGAAGCTAGTATCTCGTCTTCTGACGAGGTGCCAATTGGCTCTTGTTTTTTTAAAATTTTTTTAGTCGAATCTTCCATTTTGATCCCACGAGTGTGTCCGGAAAAACAGTCCATCCTGCCAGAGCCGACTTACTAGGATAAGGTCATCGTTACTCTCTGAGGCGACCCGGTATCAGAGAGACTCCGTTCGCGGTAGCCAGTATACCCCCCGGCTACCAACTAGTCCACTAGGCACGGGTCGTATAACACCATTGGATTGGGGGGGGGTGGGACTTGTTGAAGATTAGCTTACGCTGTTACTTCATGCCCGTGGGACTTGCTGAAGATTGGCTTGCGCCGTTACTTCAAGCCCGTGAGATTCTCTTGGTCTTTCTGGTCTCACTTTCGACCTTATCGGCATGGTTGCACCTTCCAGATACCACAGAATTGTAGTACCCGCCGACATCGCTCTCAAGATCATTGACCCTACTTAAGCTCCTTCACCACGGCAAGGTGGAATCCCATCGAAAGAGTAAAGAGTGGATTAGTTTATGAATATTTTTAATGCCAAAATTTAAATATTTTTAACACCGAACTCAGTAATAATATTAAAAAATATTCTTTTTAAGAGAATAAAATTCAACCACAATATTGAGAAATAAATTATTACAAAATTTAAAAAGAGGGAATTTATATAAGACGGAAATATTATTACTCACACTCATAAAGAAATTTTAAATATATTTCAAAATTTAATTTGACTCATAATTCGAATTAAGTTTAAAATTTTTAGTTTTTAATCATCTTAATTTTAAAAACAATAATTTTAGACTAAATACAATTAGAGGCTAAAATTATTATTTAATTTTATATAACTTTATGTTTTTTAGTGATTGGTATATGCTTTTTGCTTTTTAGATAAAATTGTTGAATATAATTGTATGCGCACTTTTTAATAATTATTATTATTTAATAAAATATTAATATTAAAAAGTATAAATATGCAATATAAGTAGTTATTAAAGCTTAACATTTAAATATATTAAATATATGTACTCGTATAATGGACAACTAAAATGCCTAGAAAATAATTTACAAAATGAAAACAAGATTTTTTTTTTCTTAATTAAATTTATAATTAAATATAACACAATTTTATTTTTTAATATTAATATTTAATTTATAATAATAATAAGAAAAGGGGTTACCTTGATAAAAATTTTTATTTTATATTAAAAATAATTGTTTTATGTTATCCAAAATCAAAAAAAATGAAATGAAAAGTAAGTAGAATTTTTCGAAATTTATTTTATTGCATAAAATTTATAATTAATTAAAAATCACCATACATTTAATAAAAATATAATAATTAAAAAATAATAACAAAGTAACCCCCACCATATTTTTTTTTTTCTAATTTTGTATTATTCACTTTTTATATTTTATGTTTTTTTTTTTTTTGTTATATTTTTATTCTTGTTTTTCCATATTTTCTTTTGTGGTTTGACAAGAAAGTGAAAAAATGAAAAATTTTATATTTTTTTTGGGCTTTTGTTTTTTCTATACTGTCCGTTTTTTCTAATCTATTTTTACTATAGTTAAATTTTTTTTAATACGTTATACTTGCATAAAATTTATTAAATTTTTATAATTAATTTATATTTTAATAATTATTTTATATAATTAATTTAGATGAAGATGATGAGCCTCGTTGTGTTCAATTAACAAATCAACACAAAACTGCAATTAGATTTATTAGGAAGGTAAGTTTAAAAAACTATTATATAAAAAAAAATTTGTAAGTAAAATATTTTTTTGATGTTTTGGAACGAAAATAATAATAATAATAATAAAAAAAAAAAATTTATAATATTTTTTTTATAAAAATTTATTTTCTGTTATTTTTTTTTTTTTATTTATTTTTAATTTTATTCCTTAAAAATTCAATATCCTATGATACTAATGAAATATAATATTTACTGTTCTAATATCACGAATTTACGCCTTATAATGAAGTTAAAGAATGGCATACAAGAAAAATTTTAAGAAATAAATATAAACTTTTCATGAATTGCCATTAAAATTTTTCGATAAATCATTTTTAATAACATTTTTATGTAAGTACAGTCGAATACGGATATATGTACACACAAAATTTTTCTGCATATATTCGCTTATATAATTAAATTTTTAATGAAAACCTTGTATTATAGAGATTACAATGTTTACATAGTACAAAGTAGCCTTATTAAATATTAATTTATATTTTTTATATTTTCCAGTAGATGGCTCATCAAGATTTCTTTAAGAAAAGAACAAAAATTTTTGTTTATAAGCAAATTTTTTTTTTTTTCAAAAACAATGACAAAACTTTAAAAAATTTTTCCGCTTACAAAAATTTTATATTATTAGGCAAATTGTAGCTGAGTGTTGCAAAAATTATGACGAATTAGATATATTCAAGCATATATGTTATGCATGTCAAAGAAGTTTCCTCTATATCCGTGTTACAGTCAAACGTGTTCTACTGCACAATTTTGTATTTCACGGCATACTAATTGAATCGAACACAAAATTCTAAATTTATAATTTTTCATAATATATAATTTTACTAAATTTTATTTATAAATATCGAAAAATTTGTCTAAATAAGGCATCAATAATTTTCGTTATATGAAAACTGCTATTATACCAATATTCCAAATATTGGTGTAATTATCCCCTATAAATATGCAATATTTTGATTTTATTACCGGAAAATATTTTGCCATTATCCTTCACATCTTCTTTCTAATTGAAATATTAGTTTTACAAATAATATAGTTATTAGAACAGTAAAACAAAAATAAAATAATAATAAAAAAAATTTTAATTTTTTATTTTTTTAAAAATTATTTTAAGAAGAAAAAAAAATTTTTCTTTTCCATATAAAAAAAAAAATTTCCCCCCCATTAAATACAAAAGTGAAAAAAAAAAAGAAACCAATAAAATTTAGAAAATTTTAATGAATTTCAGAATTAAAATTCATAAAATAAACACTTAATATTAAAGACATATAAAAACAAAAAAAAAAAATTTAATATTAATAATAAAATATATATATATATATAATTCCAAAACAGATGAAGTATTTTGTAGCACGACGTAAATTTAAGGAGGCTTTAAAACCATACGACGTTAAAGATGTTATGGAACAATATGCAGCCGGGCATGTTGATCTACTCGGCCGAGTTAAAAATGTTCAAACTAGGTACACATAAATAAAAAAAAATAAAAAAATAAAAAACAAATTTGAAAAATACCTAAAAATTTTTTTTTTTTTTGTATATTTTAACTGAACTAAAAAAAAAAAAACAACAAACAAAATATATATTTAATAATTTTAATATATTTGTATATAAATATAATATAAAATATATATTTATATTAAAATATCAAAGTAAGGACCCAGTTGTAAGAAAATTTAATAAAAAATAATGTAAAGGTATTCGTAAATAACGTAAATAAAAAAAAAAACACAATAATATTATACATAACATTATCAAAATTATTATGTGTATGTACATACATAAATATTTTCTGTGTACTCATACAAATTACATAATATATATATATATTTATGAATAATAATTTTAATATCGTAAATGATTTCGAAAGTGATTCATTTGATTGTGTCCAAATTTAATATTTAATTATCAGCCACATATTATAAAGTACTCATTTATAGTATAATTCCTATACTCAATTTACTTTCACTCGATTTTTTTTTTCACAGATATTCAAATATTGATCAAGATTTTATTTTTTTGAATATTCAGTATTAAGATTTTAAAATCGCTCTTATTTCAATTCAAGATTTGAAAATTACTTGTTATTGTGACTCTAATTCTTATTTAATAATACTATGTTACCAAAAACTGCAATATGTAACTCGCTAATCTTCTTCTCTTATTGTACCAGCACGAACATTGTGTTCGAAGGGTATACTAAAATTGCCTTACCGTTTGTAACGCTAAGAAATAACGGTGTTAGATATAGACTCAAGTATATGTTTGTTATCAGCATCGAATTCTGAGCCGATTTAGCTTTGCCTGTCCGTTCGTCCGTTCTAACGATAACTCAAAATCGCTTGACTCCTTATGGTAGCTGCCATACAAATTCAATAGTACTTTGGTCATATCTTAGAAAATATTGAAAATACAGTACTGAAAATTTGCATAAATTAATACGCGGCATCCTAAATAATAGTCTGTCCTATATGGTCAGCTATGGGATTTTTGTTCGCCCGTAGGATAATAAATTCGTACGGGTATCATAGAGTCGACACGGTCAACTCTATTTTTTCTCGTTTATTTATAAAATTTTTGAATTAGTATTATTTAGGACTTAAAATTCTAAAAAAATTATTTGAACACTTTCGAGTCATATACAGAACAATACGATATTCATATACGATTTTAAGTAGATTTTAACAAACTTTTTATTATTTTTCAAAAACTACTAAATTTTTTTTTTAAAAAAAAAAGAAATAAAATTTTATGAGTAAATCATAGTTATTAAATATTATTCAAATAACACAAGTATATTTGTATTATTTGTACAGTATATTATTTGAATATTATTCATGTCTGTGATATATACTATTCTGATACTATAATTTAAAATAACTTTCCTTTCTTTTTTATATATTTTAATAAAAAAAAGTAATTAAAGTATATTTATTGTATTATAACAGCGCAAGTAAATAACTTATAGTTGTGTTTATTAAAAAAATGAAAATTCCCACATTAAAATTTCTGTGAATTTATTTCAATATGAATAAAATTTATCGACATTATTATTCTACTATGTTTCTAATAAGAAAATAGTAAAATTCGCATTTAGAAATAAAACTAACTCCATATTTTAAAAAAATTATTGTCCATCTCTTGGAAAATTTCGGTTTATAATAATATTTTGCACAAATTAAAACAAAAAATTCGAAAATGAAAATTCTAATCGAGCAGTTTTTTCCTACCCTCTAGGATAGTGGATTTTTTTCTATCACTCTCTCTAATAGGAATTTTTCTCCATCACTGTTTCTAATAGGAAATTATGTATTTCAGGCCTATTAAACTTTCGTACAAAAAAAAAAATATTACAGTTTTTAAAGATATTTTGTATAGGGTTCTTGTATAGCGTCTTCCACAAATCATAAAATGTTCAACATTAGGGCACAATAATATTTCATTTTTAAAAAGTTTATTTTATTGTGAATAAGAGAAAATCATTACAAAAATTTTAACCAATTTAAATATTAAAATTTACGCCTACTGTACTGTTCTCTTTATATACTACACAAAAATAAAATTTAATATTTTTTTTTTTTAATTTTAATAAATATATTTTTAATGTTACCTTATATAACTTGGCTTTATGTATACAAAAAAAATATAAATGGTTTTAGCATTTATCTTACTTCATATTTAAATATAAATATATATAAATATATATGTACACATATTTGTGTTTATATGTATATATAAAGATATATATACATACATATATACATACCTCTATTTATGTAATTTAAAAAAAAAAAAATAAAAAAAAAAAATTCGCCTTAAAAATATTTCTAAAACAAATGCAAAATCTTTCCTCTCTCTCTCTCTCTCTCTAAAAAGAAAAAAAGCAAAAAAGAAATGCTCATTGTTTTACTCTCCTTCTATATACTCTAAATAATCATAAATATGCTCCTTGTGTTTCAAAACTTAATTTGATTGTTCTTATGCTGAAAAAAAATGTTTTATTTTTCTATTTTTATTTGTATTGGTTAAGGATTTTTAAAAATAATATTTTTTTTTTGTTTATTTTCTGTTATTTATGTACAAATTTTCATTCTATCAAAATCTAATTGAAATAAGAATAGTTATTCAATTAATAATAAACAATATTTAGAGTAATTGAATTCATTTAATATTATTTTAGAATAATATTTTTGAATTTAATTATTTCTAAAAATTGTGATTATTATATTTTACGAATAATAAAATTTATAAACAAAGAAAAAAATTAAATTAATTATTTATTGAAATTTTATAATTCTACTCAAAAATGTTACTATACATATACAAATAAATAATAAAAATTATATAATTGTGGGGGTAATACAAGAGAATAAAATCCACACAATTACTTATATAACAGTTGTAGGTATCTCTCAATTACATATTTCGAAAAAAAGTTATAAATAACCTAAATATTTTCATTATCTTGTTTAAAATACAAATATAACAATTATTATTATTTTAAAATTTAAAAAAAAAATAAAATATAATTTATTTGTGTTTTCAATATTAGTATTTGATTAGGGAAATTTGCTGTACAATCCTTTTTGTTATCAATTGAATTATTAAAAATTTTAATGAGTAAACAAAACAATATTAATATTGAGATATAATAAAATAATTTAGTGACAGTATGAAAGAGAAAGCAAAGCTTTCGTTGAAAATAAAATTTCTAAAGAAATAACGTCTCACAAAAGAAGACAATAACAATCCGAATTGTTGATTACTCCCAATAATTAGTCCCCTACATTTATGAACATCACCTTAGAAACATTAAACTCTTTTAGTCTTGTTCTTGTTTTCTTAATTATGCAATATAACTTTGCTTAATTTCCTCATTTATATTCTATTCTTGAAGAATTTCTCTTTAAAAAATATGGTTAGGGGAATTTTCAAATAATTTACTTTTACTGTTTCGATTTAATATTTAAAATTATAATTGTGTGTTGTTCCTCGATTAGGGGAAGATCAAACACCTCGATTTAGATACAAAAATCCTAATGTAAATACAAAACAAAATAAAAATTTTACCAAATTGGTACGTACGTCGGTCCGTGGGAACGCTTTCATTATTTTTATACTAGGTTTTAAGAACATTCCATCGTTATAATATGCATGGTCACTTCAAAAATCCAATAGATAACGAAACAAATAATTTAATAAAATTATTCAAAAATTGTGTACCAAATATTTTTGTGGACAAAACAAATTATTAGAGAGTAATTTTTAAAATCTGTGCCAGTCCGGTTTATTATAGGATTTAAAACAGTCGATATTTCATTATAATGTATATAACCACCGATTTTTTTTTTTTGTATTAAAATATTAAAATATTATAATTTGAATTATAATATTTTAATATTATAATTTAAATATAATTAAAATTTATTTCATAATATTTTATTCCAAATTTTTATAATATTTTCAGCTTCTATAATACCATTATGTAACTACTCTAAATTTTAGAATATTACTATTATCAAAAATACAATTTTACACACATGATATTGCATATTGTATATTTACGTAATATTTGCAGCATAGGGCACCAATAACATTTGTAATTTAAAAAAAAAAATAGTGCTACAAAATTAAAAAATATAAAATGAGAAAAATATAAAATCACAAAATAATTACGAGACATAATGATAATTCGTAAAGTGATACGTAATAGTCAACTATAATCTTTCAATTAAAATTTCTAAAATATCACGGTATAATAATTAATATCACAAAAAAAAAAATTAATTTGACTAAGGGAAATAATAAAAAAAAATAAAACAAACCAACTGAATTCGATCTTTTCTTTATTGTAATTATCCTGTATTTTTATTTATTTATTTATTTATTTTCAAAGGCAATTTATATTCCTTTATTTTTACACATGTAGAATATGTTCAGTCAAAAATTCTCTTACTTATTATCACATAATACAACAACAATAAAATAATTGATGAGAACAAAAACGAAATTCTCTGAATATATTCAACATGTAAATTAAGGATGCCACCTGTATAATAATCAAAAAAAAAAATCATTTGAAATAAATCAAAAAGTAATAATTATTTTAAACAAAGAGAAAGACAAACGAAAAAAAAAAATAAAATAATTACATATTTTTTTTTTGTATATGATTGTATTTGTGTATGTTTTAATTTATATATCTTAACCAAATGTGTCTATTTCTCTCTCTTTCTCTCTGTCTCATTCTCGCTGTTGCTCTCTATGTTGAAAAAAAAAAAAACAAAAAACAAAAAAACAAAAAATAAACTGAATATAAAATGTATGTGTGTTAGCTTCAATACTTTTTGGCACGTAAAAGATTTCGTGAGGCACTTAAACCGTACGATGTTAAAGACGTTATAGAACAATATTCTTCCGGACATGCTGACCTACTAAATCGTGTCAAGAATTTACAATTTAG